TTAAAATTTCAAAATAAATTTTAAATATAGAATATTAACATCTCCCAGGGGGTCGGAATGGCAAAAATTATAAAAACCCAATTTTTCAGAAATTCCAGAGATTTAAACAATTCGAAAAATTTGGAAAATTTCAAAAGTTAATTAATTAATTCAGAAATTATAAAAATTAAAAAAATTGTCATTCGTGGTTCTAATACATAACTCAAAAAACATAAAAATTTAAAACAGCAAAAGTCAATTAAAGGGTGACAATTTGAAAACTCCATTGGCAATGCCTGAAATTTTGCAATTTTGTAAAAAATACTAGACAATTCAAAACTTCCAAAAACGTAAAAAATTGTAGCTTAAAATTTTCAAAATATTTTTGAAGTATCAAAAACTTAGAAATTTTAAAATTCTAAAAAACCTGAGGTTCCATATATGTCAAACATTCTAAGAATTTAAAAATCTGATTATATATTCCGAAAATTTTCAAAAATCTATCGAAGAACGGAAATTCATAAACTCCAAAAAATGTAAATATTGTGCTTGAAATTTTGAAAATTTCTACAAATTCTAGAAAACTCAGAATTTCCAAAGTGTAAAAAAACAGAAATTTTAAAATTCCAAAAGTGTCAAAAATTCTAACAATTTTAAAATTTCAAAATATTTTTTAAAAATTGAATATTAACATCTCCAAGGGGGTCGTAATGACAAAAATTACAAAAAGCTAATATTTTCAGAAATTCCAGAGATTCAAACAATTTCAAAAATTTGGAAAATTTCAAATGTTAATTAATTCAGAAATTATAAAAATTAAAAAATTATGAACCTTCGTGGTTCTAATACATAATTTAAAAAACAAACATTTAAAACAGCAAAAATCTATTAAAGGATGACAATTTGAAAACTCCATGGTCAATGCCTGAAATTCTGAAATTTTCTAAAAAATACTAGAAAATTAAAAAGTTTCAAAAACGTAAAAATTTTAAATTCTAAAAATCCTGAGGTTCCAAATGTGTCAAACATTCTAAGAATTTAAAAGTCTGATTATATATTCCGAAAATTTTCAAAAATTTATGGAAGAACGGAAATTCATAAACTCCAAAAATTGTAAATATTGTGTTTGAAATTTTTGAAAATTTCTACAAATTCCAGAAAACTCAGAACTTCCAAAACCGTCAAAAATTCTAACAATTTTAAAATTTCAAAATATTTTTTTAAAATAGAAATTTATCATCTCCAAAAGGGTCGTAAATAGCAAAACTGTAAGTCTTTGGTCAAAAATTTCAACAACCCCGAAAATTCAGTAAAATCGAAAATTCTAAAACCTTTAACAATTCTATTCATTCCAGATACTTCATTATGCCAAAAATTATAAAACAGTTAATATTTTTAGAAATTCCAGAGACTTAAACAATTCCAAAAATTTCGAATATATCAAAAATTCTTAAAAATTAAAGAATTGAACCTTCACAGTTCTAATAAACAACTAAAATTTAAAACAGCAAAAACCTATCAGAGTGAGAATTTGAAAACTCCATTTATTCCAAAAATTGCAAAAATGTATGAAATTTTGTAAAAAATCCCAGAAAATTCAGAACTTCCAAAAATGGAAACAAATTCTAGCAATTTAAAATTTTCAAAAGATTTTTAATAATAGAAATTCGAAAATTTTAAATTAAATTCCAGATACTTCATAATGCCAAAAATTATATAAAGGTTAATATTTTCAGTAATTCCAGAGATTTGAACAATCATGAAATTGTGATAATTACAAAAGTTATAATAAATCAGAAAATATAAAAATTTAAAAATTGTAAAAATCCACTAAAGAATAGTAATTTGAAAAATGCATGGATTCCAAAAATAATAAAAATGAAAAAAATTTTAAAATTTCTAAAAAAAACTTAGGAAATTTAGAACTTACAAAAGAGCCAAAAACTTATAAATTTCAAAATTCCAAAGTTTCAAATGTGTTAAATATTCTAAGAATTTTAAAATTTTCAAAAATCTCTGGAAGAACGGAAACTTATAAACTGCAAAAATTGTAAACACCATGTTTGAAAATTTGAAAATTTCTACAAACACTAGAAAACCCAGAAATTACGAAAGTGTTAAAAAATTTTAAAAATTTAAAATTCCAAGTGTCAAAAATTCTAACAATTTTAAAATTTCAAAATATTTTTCAAAAATAGAATTTTAACATCGTCAAGAGGCTAAATAACAAAACCGTTTGGAAATTCAAAAATTTCGACTACTCCGAAATTCAAAAACCTTTAAAGATTCTGCCAATTCCAGATACTTCATAAATTACAGCAAAGTTAATATTTTTAGAAATTCCAGAGATTTAAACAACTCCAAAAATTTAGTAGTTCTAATACCATAACTAAACCGTAACTGAAAAAACATAAAAACTTAAAACAGCAAAAATTTATTAAAGAATGATAATTTGAAAACCCCATTGCTTTGAAAAATTGCAAAAATGACTGAAATTTCGAAATTTTCTAAAAAATCCTAGAAAATTCAGAACTTGCAAAAATGTTAAAAATGCTTAAAAATTTAAAATTATCAAAATATTTTTTAATAATAGATAGAACTTCGAAAATTTTAAATCCTAAAGATTTCAAAAATGATTGCAATTTTGAAATAATAAAATCCAAATTCAGAACTTCTAAAACTGATTCCAAAAATAATAAAAATGAAAAAATTTTTAAAATTTCTAAAAAACTCAGGAAATTCAAAACTTATTAAAACAGTAAAAAATTTTGAAATTTTAAAATTACAAAGTGCCAAATGTCAAATATTCTAAGAATTTTAAAATTTTCAAAAATCTACCGAAGAACGGCAATCTAGAAACTCCAAAAATTGTAAATGTTGTCCTTGAAAATTTGAACATTTCTACAAATTCTAGAAGGCTCAGAACTCCCCAAAGTGTTAAAAAGTTTAGATAGTTTAAAATTCCAAGTGTCAAAAATTCTAACAGTTTTAAAATTTCAAAATATTTTTTTAAAATAGAATTTTAACATCCTCAAATAACAAAACAAGTAAGTCTTTGGAAATTCAAAAATTTCACTCCGAAAATTCAATAAACTAAAAAATTCAAAAACCTTTGTTTCTAGCAATTCCAGATACTTCATAATGCAAAAAATTACAAACAAAGTAATATTTGTAAAAATTTCAAAGATTTAAATAATTCCAAAAATTTCGAAAATTCCAAAAATTCTAATAATTTAGAAATTCTAAAAGATAAAAAATTTTACCTTCGTAGTTCTAACTACTAAACTAATCCAAAACTCCTAAAAATTTAAAACAGCAAAAATCTATTAAAGAATGACAATTTGAAAATTCCATTGATTCCAAAATTGCAAAAATACCCGAAATTTTGAAATTTTGTAAAAAATCCTAGAAAATTCGGAACTTCCAAGGATATAAAAAAATTCAAACAACTTAAAATTGTCAACATATTTTTTTATAATAGAAACTTTGAAGTAAAAAAATTCAAAAAATTCAGTACGTCTAAAAGTGATTTTGTTTTAAATCTCAGACTCTACGGCTTGCCAAAATGGAATTCAACTCCCATTTCATAGTAAATAAAATAAGTTAGTAAAATATAAAAATATTTTACCAAGCAGTAGCCCCGCCCACCCACCCCTCCTCTTTCCAATGACTACTTTTATTATTAATTATTGACAATGTTATTATCTTATTAGAATCTTAGACAAATCTGTTAAGCCATTGGTGAGAAAATATATAAATTGTTCAACAAGGTATTTAGAAAATATTAAGCTGGTGTTAAAGTATCAAAAATCTAGAAACTTTACAATTCTAAGAATCCGGAAGTTCAAAAAGTGTCAAAATTTGTTACATTTTTAAAATGTCAAACTTTAGAAGGGACGTAAATGGTAAAATATGTGTCAGTCTTAGAAATTTAAAAAATTGTGACAATTTCAAAAATTCTATAAATTAGAAAATACTGAAAACTATAAAGATTCTACAAATTCCAGATACTTCATAATGCCAAAAATTATATAAAGAAATTTAAATACCTAATCACAAAATTAATAAATAAAATTAGTAAAAAATAAAATATTATTTAAAAAATGTGTAATCGTAGATTCTATTAGATATTATTCAATTAAAATCCCACTTTCGCCTCAGAGCCAATAAAATGAATAATCAAAACGAAGGAAGGGTGGGTGGGCGGGCCACTTTTGACATATAACATCAAAAATATTGGATAATAGAAAAAGACAAACTTGATCACCCTGGAATAGTAGAGAATTTAAAACTTAGCATAATAAATGCAAGAGAAAATTTATTAGGTCCGTTAAAAAATGGAGTAGTGACCTCTTTACAATCTCAGTTTTTCCAGAATTAAGTCTTCGTGGAAGCATCTGTATTATTCTTGTTTCATGAATATTTAACCGGCGTTACGCGAGAATAATTCCCCTCCTAACGAGCGTAAAACCTCCCCCGAGCTCAGGTACCTCCCCCAAAAAAACTACCCTCCCTCTTTATGCATCTCCTAATAACGCAAAACAAACACTAGAAGCATCCGCTTCTAACAAAGCGATGACGCAGATCCCCCTCCCAGCTCCCTCATCAAGAAACCAATTAAAGTTTTAATTAATCCGTAAGTTCGTTTTTTAATGAACCCCCCCATTACAACAATCCCGCCGAAAAAACCCAAGTTGATCTTCATCCCCTATCAACACCCCCACATAATTAAATAAATATCTCGTTCGTCGCCGCCAAAACAGCCTCCAGACGCAATCCGACTCCCGAATTAGACGCACCGATAAATAATCCGGCAACCAGCGAACTCCAACCCTTATCATCTCGTCCCATCGCGTCAACAAATCAATTAAAAGCCCAAAAACTTGCCGAAAGCAATTAGCAATGGAAATGCGCTCGTCGATTCGGCGATACTAATTGGGCCGAAACGGGGCCCCGGAGGAGCGGTAAACCGATATTTGCCACTTCGCTGATCTGACAATAATTGCCGCAGGGGTGCTCACTTTTGATGTTGTGCGAACAGAGGGTGAACCTGAGCGCGTCGGCCCCGCACGCGGGGATGCCCGAAGGGAACATTCTCTTCTGGCCGGCGATGGCCCTTGTCAGCTCTTCGGGGGAGAGGATGCCTGAGGAGTGGCTGGCACGGGAAGACGCCTCGAGGTCCTGCGAACATGAATCAAAGGAGTGATTTAGTGTCTTGCTTGATGGGACGGCTAGGAGCTGATGGGATAAGGTTTCAAACTGGGGTTGTGGCAATGGATGGTTAAGCTTGTAAGGAAAACCACCTGTGTAATGTTGAATATCTTCAGAGGATTTCGAGGATTGGGAGCTTTTTCTGTAAACTTTAATGGCTGTTTTTTTTCTGCGTCGTTTTCAAACGAATCATTTAGTTTCAAAAGAGCTAATTATTCTCTATTGTACGATCTTTTCACTAATACCGACTGGATATTTTTAAAACCCATTAATGGTGTAGAAAATGTATGAAAAGCTCTATAGATTACGTAAATTCTCTCCTGCACGTAGGCATCATCAATTTTACGTAAAATTTTCCAGTGAAATCCTAACTTGTGTTCATGAATACTGTATGGTATTAAAAATATACAAAAAAAGCTGTATGTGATCCGTAAAGTCCAGAAATTTATAAATTTTCGATTTAATTGATTTTGCAATTTTTCGATTTTTCCAATTTTAGATTTTTCAGTATATCGATTTTCCAATTTTCCCGATTTTTCGATTTTTTTTATGTAATCGATTTTTGATTTTTCAATTTTACGATTTTAACATTCTTAGATTTTTTTAAACTTTCGATTTTCAGTTTTCAGATATATATGTTACCTATTAATTTCCATTTTTCAATAATTTTTTAATTTTTTTAATTTTTTTGATTTTTTAATTCCAGATTTCTCAATTTTTGGTACTTATTTTAATTATTCGATTCCTACATTTTCCAGTTTAAATTTTTTAAGTTTTGGATTTCCCAATTTTAAAATTTTCCGATTTTTCGGTTTCTCGATTTTTACTTTTTAGATATTTTAACTTTTCGTGATTTAGATTTTTCGAATTTTTGATTTTAGGATTTCCCAATTTTTATATTTCCGATCCTTCAATTTTTCGTTTAATCAATTTTTCTAATTTTTAAATTTTTCCAGTTTTTAGACTTTTTAATTTTTGATTTCTCAATTTTTGGTGCTTATTTATTTTAATTATTCGATTCTTACTTTTTGGGTTTAAATTTTTTAATTTTTGCATTTCCCAATTTTTCAATTTTTTGATTTTTCGGTTTCTCCATTTTTACTTTTTCGATATTTTACCTTTTGGTGACTTAGGTTTTTCGATATTTTGATTTTAGGATTCCCAATTTTTATGTTTTCGAGTCTCCAATTTTTCGTTTAATCAATTTTTCGATTTGAAGTTTTTGTTTTTGTAACTTATAATTGTTCAATTTAAAAATTTTTCCAATTTTCAATTTTTAACTTTTACATTTTAAATGTTTCCATTTTTCAATTTATCGATTTTTCAAGTTTTGGATTTTAAAATTTTTCATTTCTCAATTATTTTTTAATTTTTCGATTTTTGATTTTTCAGCTTTTGGATATTTTAGTTTTTCGATTTCTATCAATTTTTTTATTTCTCAATTTCTGGATTTATAAAACATTCGATTTTCCCGTTTTTAGAATTTGTAACTTATCGATTTCTCGGTTTTTAATTTTTTTATATTCTGATTTCTCATTTTCATTTTCCGATTTTTAGAAATCTTAATTTTTGATTTTTTAATTTCTAGATAATTAGTTTTTTCAGGTTTTATCTTTTCGTCCTTTTCGTCCTTTTCGTCCTTTTGGCTTTTTCGGTCCTTTTGGTCCTTTTGATCGTTTTCGTCCTTTTGGTCCTTTTGGTCCTTTTCGTCCTGTTGATCCTTGTGATCCTTTTCGACCTTGTCGTCTTTTGGTCCTTTTGGTCCTTTTCGTCCTTTTGGTCCTTCTGGTCCTTTTCGTCATTTTCGTCCTTTTCGTCCTTTTGATTCTTTTCGTCCTTTTGGTTCTTTTCGTCCTTTTCGTCCTTTTCGTGCTTTTCGTCCTTTTCGTCCTTTTCGTGCTTTTCGTCCTTTTCGTCCTTTTCGCACTTTTCATCCGTTTTGTCCTTTTAGTCCTTTTGGTCCTTTTGGTTCTTTTGATCCTTTTAGTCCTTTCCGTTCTTTTCGTCCATTTCGTCCTTCTGATCCTTCTAGTCCTTTTCGTCCTTCTGGTCCTTCTGGTTCTTTTCGTTCTTTTGGTGTTCTTCGTCCTTTTCGTCCTTGTTGGTCCTCTTCGTCTTTTTTCGTCTTTTTCGTCCTTAATCGTCCTATTTCGTCCATTTCGTCCTTATTCTTCATTTTTGGCCCCTTTCGTCCTTTTCTTCCTTTTTCGTCCGTACTCGTCCATTTTCGATCTTTTTTGTCCTTTTCGTCTTTTTAGTCCTTTTTCGTCCTTCTTCGTCCTTTTCGTCCTTTTTGTCGTTTTTGTCCTTTTTCCTCCTTTTCATCCTTCTCGTCATTTTTCGTCCTTTTTCGTCCTTTCCGTCCTTTTTCGTCTTTTTCGTGCTTTTCGTCCCTTTTCGTCCTTGTCATCCTGATTCGTTCTTTTTCGTCCTTATTCGTCCTTCTTCGTCCTTTTGCGTACTTTTCGTTCATTTCATCTTTTTTCGTCTTTTTCGTCCTTTTCCTCCTTTTTGTCCTTTCGATCTTTTCGGTCTGTTTGGCCCTTTTCGTCCTTTTCATCCTTTTTGGTCCTTTTCGTCCTTTTTGTCCTTGTCGTCCTTGTCGTCCTTGTCGTCCTTTTGGTCCTTCTGGTCCTTTTCGTCCTTCTGGTCCTTATCGTCCATCTGGTCCTTCTGGTTCTTTTCATCATTTTCGTCATTTGACCCTTTTCGTCCTTTTGGTTCTTTTCGTCCTTTTCCTCCAATTGATCCTTTTGGTCCTTTTCATCATTTTCGTCCTTTTTCGTCTTTTTCGTGCTTTTCCTCATTTTTGTCCTTTTGGTTTTTTCGGCCCTTTTTGTCCTTTTGATCCTTTTGGTCCTTTTCGTCCTTTTGGTCCTTCTGATCCTTTTCGTCCTTTTGGTCATTTTTGTCCTTTTGCTCCTTCTGGTCCTTTTCGTTCTTTTCGTCCTTTTGGTTCTTTTCGTCTTTTTCGTCCTTCTGGTCCTTCTAGTTCTTTTCGTCCTTTTCGTCCTTATTCGTCCTTTTTCGTCTTTTTTAATCCCTTTTCGTCCTTTTTCATCCTTTCTCGTCCTTATCGTCCTTTTTCGTCCTTACTCGTCAATTTTCATCCTTTTTTTGTCGTTTTCGTCCTTCTAGTCCTTTTTTGTCCTTTTCTTCCTTTTCGTCCTTTTTCCTCCTTTTCGTCCGTCTCGTCATTTTTCGTCCTTTTTCTTCCTTAATCGTCCTTTTTCGTCCTTTTCGCCTTTTTCGTGCTTCTCGTCCTTTTTCGTCCTCTTTCGTCCTCTTTCGTCCTTTTCGTCCTTATTCGTCCTTTTCGTCCTTCTTCCTTTTTCCCGTCCTTCTCGTAATTTCTTTGTCCTTATTCGTCCTATTTCGTCCTTATTCGTCCTTTTCGTCGTTTCTCGTCCTTATTCGTCCTTTTTCCTCCTTTTCGTCCTTCTCGTCATTTTTTATCCTTATTCGTCCTATTTCGTCCTTAGGCGTCCTTTTCGTCCTTATTCGTCCTTTTCGTCCTTTTTCGTCCTTATTCGTCCCTTTTCGTCCCTTTCCTCCTTTCTCCTCCTTTTCATCCTTCTCGTCATTTCTTGTCCTTATTCGTCCTATTTCGTCCTTATTTGCCCTATTTCGTCCTTGATCGTCCTTTTTCGTCCTTTTTAGTTCCTTTCGTCCTTTTCGTCCTTTTGGTTATTTTCGTCTTTTTCGTTCTTCTGGTCCTTCTAGTCCTTTTCGTCCTTTCCGTCCTTATTCGTCCTTTTTCGTCTTTTTTAATCCTTTTCGTCCTTTTTCATCTTCTTCGTCCTTTTCGTCCTTTTTCGTCCTTACTCGTCAATTTTCATCCTTTCTTTGTCCTATTCGTCCTTCTAGTCCTTTTTTGTCCTTTTCTTCCTTTTCGTCATTTTTCCTCCTTTTCGTTCGTCTCGTCATTTTTTGTCCTTCTTCTTCCTTAATCGTCCTTTTTCGTCCTTTTCGTCTTTTTCGTACTTTTCGTTCTTTTTTCGTCCTCTTTCGTCCTTTTCGTCCTTATTCGTCCTTTTCGTCCTGTTTCCTCCTTTCCGTCCTTCTCGTCATTTTTTGTCCTTATTCGTCCTATTTCGTCCTTATTCGTCCTTTTCGTCCTTATGCGTCCTTTTCGTCCTTATGCGTCCTTTTCGTCCTTATTCGTACTTTTCGTCCTTCTCGTCATTTCTTGTCCTTATTTGCCCTATTTCGTCCTTAATCGTCCTTTTTAGTCCCTTTCATCCTTTTCGTCCTTCTTCCTCCTTTTCGTCCTTCTCGTCATTTTTCGTCCTTTTCGTCCTATTTGCTCCTTTTCGTCCTTCTCGTTATTTTTCGTCCTTATTCGTCCTTTTTAGTCCTTTCCGTCCTTTTTCGTCCTTTGTCGTCCCTATTCGTCCTTTTTCCTCCTTTTCGTCCTTCTCGTCCTTTTCGTTCCTTTTCGTCCTTTTTCGTCCTTTTCGCCCTTTTTCGTCCATTTTCGTCCTTTTTGTCCTTTTTCGTCCATTTCGTCCTTTTGGTCTTGCGGTCATTTTGGTCCTTTTGTTTTTTTTGTCCTTTTCGTCCTTGTCGTCCTTGTCGTCCTTCTGGTCCTTCTGGTCCTTTCGTCTTTTCGTCCTTTTCGTCTTTTTGATCCATTTGGTCCTTTTTGTCCTTTTGATCCTTTTCGTCCTTATTCCTAGTTTTACAGTTTTTCAGTTTTTTGATTTTTCAGTTTGTCGACATTGAGTTTTCCAATTCTCCAATTTTTCGTTTACTTATTAAATTTTTCGATTTGGAATTTTCCGTTTTATAATTTTCGGATTTTTCAATTTTGAGATGTTTGAATTTTTCGATTTTTCCATTTCTTTGATGTTTCAATTTGTCGATTTTTGAAGTTTTCAATTTAAAATGTTCAGTTTTATAGATTTTTCGATTTTACAAATTTTCGATTTTTTGATTTTTCGATATTTCAGTTTTTGGATATTTTAATTTTCACCAATTTTTTGGATTTCTCAAGGCTAAAATTTTTTGGATTTTCCCATTTGTATTTTTTTATCAGTTTTCGTTTTTTAAATTTTTAATTTTTGGATTTTAAGAAATCTTCGTTTTTCAATTATTATTTTTTTAATTTTTCAGGCTCTAGATTTTTAGTTTTTTGAAAATTTATTTTTTCTTTTCCATTTTTCGATTTTTTATTTTCCTGCTTTTACAGTTTTTAGATTTTTCAATTTTTTGATTTTTCAGTTTCTCGATATTAAGTTCTCCAATGCTCCGATTTTTCGTTTATTGAATTTTTCGATTTAAAATTTTCGACTTTATAATTTTCGGATTTTTCAGTTTTGAGATTCTTATTTGAGTTTTTGCATTTTTTCCATTTTTTGATGTTTTCATTTTTCGTTTCTTCAGTTTCTCGATTTTCTAGTTTGGGATTTTATAACTATGGAAGTATTGTATATAAAATCCAAATTTTTCAACTTATCGTGGTAACAGTTTTTTGATTTTTTAATTTCCCGATTTTACAATTTTTCGATTTTTCAGTTTCTTAAATTTCTCCCAATTTTTAATCTTTTGATTTTTTCATTTTTTTCCAATATTTAGTTTTTTATGCATATTTTTCACTTTCTTCATTTTATTTATTCGATTTCCCAATTTTTCGATTTTTCCAAGAAACTGACAAACATCAAAAACAACGGAGCAACACAGAATTTCAGTTTGAAAACAGCAATTTGAAAACTTCAAAATAAAAAATTAAAAGTTTTAACAGTTCAAAAATTGAAAAAGTGAAAATTAAAAATTCGAAAAACTGAAGACAAAAAACTGAAAACTTAAAAATTGAGAAAATAAAATGGAAAAATTTTAACAATAGAAAATTATAAAATCAAAACATTGCAAGTAAAGAAAATTTAAAAAAAATGGAAAAACCGAATATTTAATAATCGACAAACTGAAAAATCGAAAAAAACGTTGAAATAACGAAAAATTGAATATCATCAGGGTTCGATAGGGATCCAACTTGATTCCGTTACTGTTTGTCTACTTTATCAATGACCTTGCAGCAGTGCTCCTATATAGAAATACAGAAAATCTCTCACCTAGACAGACTAGATCGATTTAAGAATCTACTGATATCTTTTAACAGTAGATAACTTTTATTAACCATGTAACAAAGATTATTATTTAATCAGATCCCGAAATCCAATATATCGAATTGTATTTTTATCTGGAACAACGACTCCAGTAATTGGATTCGTTACCTGTTGGATCAATAAACTACACTATCATTATTATTATTACGTCTCCCGACTCAAAATCCAGATCATCGCCCCCGCATCCCATCACCCCCACCCACAGCCCCACCCGCTTCCCAAACTTGCCAAACTCCGCCCTTTGACACCCATTAACCTCCACGATCCCCCAGAAACTCGATTAGGCCTCACCTCGAGCGTCGATCCGTCGATGACGTCCTCCGGCGTCACGACGTTCCCCAAACTTTTCGACATCTTCCTGCCCTGCGCGTCGCAGACGATGCCGTGGAGCAGCACCTGGTGGAAGGGCAGCCGCCCCGTCAGCCGCCTCCCGAGCATGGCCATCCGCGCCACCCAGAAGAACAGGATGTCGTGCCCCGTCACCATCACGTCCAGGGGGTAACAACCCCCGGCCGGCGAGCTGAATTCGCAATTTCGAGGGACCTGTTGCGGAGACCAGGCGCTGAAAGGGAGAAGGGCGGACGAGAACCACGTGTCGAGGACGTCGGCGTCTTGGGTCACTTCGATGTCGGGGGCGGAGAGGCGAGCGGCGGCTTTTCGGAGGGCGGCGGACGGGCTGTCGGCGGCGATCCAAACGGGGGGGGCGGCGGAGGCGCGGGGGCGGCAGGAGTAAACGGGGATGCGGTGGCCCCACCAGAGCTGACGGGAGATGCACCAGTCCCTGGAAATAGATTGTTGGAAAGTGTAAAAACCAGATTTGATGTGAGGTTTATCGAATTTGTAAAAATCGAGAAACTGAAAATTCAAAAAAATTAAAAACTCTTAAATTTGTAAAATATAAAATTTAAAAAGTCTAAAAATGGAAAAATCGAAAAATCAAAATATTTAAAAATTGAAAAATCAGAAAATTGTAAACTCGAAAAATGAAAATATCTAAAACTGAAAACCGACAAACGATAAACTGAAAAATCAAAAACTAAGAAATTCAAAAATAAAAAAATTAAAAATCTAAATATAGACACATCAAATAATTAAAATTCGAGACACTAAAATATCAAAAAATTGAAAATGAAAAATTTGTAAAATCCGAACATTAAAAATTGAGAAACTGAAAATAGAAGAAAAATTGAAAAATCGAAAAATATTAAATTCGAAAAATTGTAAATTCACAAAATTCTATGAACGAAAAATTGGGAAATCTATGGAGAAAATAAAAAATGAAACATTGAAAAATCTAAAAGGAGACAAATCGAAAAATAAAATTTTAAATTGTAAAATTCAAAAACTGACAAACGAAAAATTGAAGGAAAAAAAGGAACAATTGAAAAAACGAAAAATCTTAAATTTAAAAATCTAGAAATTTAAAAAAAGAAATAAAGAAAACCGACAAACTAACAATCGGGAAATTGAAAAATCGAAAAATTGATAAACTAAAAATTAAAAAAGTATCTACAACTTGACAAACTGAAAAATTAAAATATCTAAAATTCAAAAATAAATTCGATAAACTGAAAAATCAAAAACTAAGAAATTCAAAAATAAAAAAATCAAAAATCGAAAAATAGACACATCGAATAATTAAAATTTGAGACACTAAAACAATAAAAAAGAAAAATTTGTAAAATCCGAACATTAAAAATTGAGAAACTGAAAATAGAAGAAAAATTAAAAAATCGAAAAATATTGAAATCGAAAAATTGTAAAATCACAAAATTGTATAAACGAAAAATTGGGAAATCTATGGAGAACCTGAAAAATGAAACATTGAAAGTCTAAAAGGTGAAAAATCGAAAAATAAAACTTTAAATTGTAAAATTCAAAAATTGACAATCGAAAAATTGAAAAAATGAAAAATCTTGAATTTTAAATTCTAGAAATTGAAAAACAAAAAATTTAAAAAAGAAATAAAGAAAACTGACAAACTAAATATCGAAAAATTGAAAAATTAAAAATAAAAGTACATATCTACAACTAGAAAATTGAAAAATAATCAAATAGAAAAATTGAAAAACGAAAAATTAAACAAACAAAAAACTATAAACTGGAAAAGTTAAAGAAATTAATAACTGCAGAAATCCAAAAACTGGCAAACAAAAATTGAAGAAAAGAAATAAAAAAAAAAATGGAAAACTGGAAGATTCGAAATCGAGAAATTGTAAAATATGTATAAAAACTGAAAACACGAATAGTTGGTAAATTCAAAAATCAAAAATCGAAAAACGGAAAAGAGAAAAATATAAAAATCCAAGACGAAGATCTAAAATCGAAAAACTGAAAATGTGAAAAATTATTACCTAGAAATGATAAAATTAAAAATTGTAAGAACGAAAAACTAAAATATCGGAAAATTGAAACACCTAAAAACTGAAAACTCAAAAAATTGTAAAATCGAAAAATTAAAATATCTAAAATTAAAAAATCCGATAGTTGAGAAATTGAAAAATTACAAAATCCAAAAATTGAAAAATCGAAGAAATGTAAAATCGATAAGCTGAAAAATCAAAAATCCAAAAATTCAAAAATAAAAAAAAAATTGCAAATCGATAAATTGAGACATTGAATAATTTAAAAAATGTAAAATCCGAATATTAAAAATCGAGAAACTGTAGATAGAAAAGTTGAAAAATCTATAAACGAAAAGCTGTAAGTTCGAAAAATTGTAAATACAAAAAATTCGAAAATCTAAAATTTAAAAATGGAGAACCTGAAAATTAAAAAGGCTGATACATCTAAAGGTGAGAAATCGAAAAATATAATTTTAAATTTTAAAATACAAAAATCGACAAACTAAAAATTTTAAAATCGAAAAGTTGAAAAAATTAATGGCTGTAAAATCTAAAAATTGACAAAAAAAAACTGAATAAAAGAAAAAATGGAAAATCAAAATCGAGAAACTGTAAAATCGAAAAGTTGAAAAATCGAAAAATTGAAAACACGAAAAGTCAGAAAATCCAAAAATTAAAAATCGAAAAACGAAAAATTGAAAAATTTAAAAATCGAAGACGAAAAATTGTAAAATCGAAAAACTGTGGAAACGAAAAACTGAAGGAACGAAAAATTGAAAAGGCGAAAAATTAAAACATCTAAAAATGGGAAATATCTAAAATTGAAAAATCCGGCAGTTAAAAAATTGAAAAATTAAAAAACTTAAAAATTGAAAAACCGAAAAAATGTAAAATCCATGAACTGAAAAATCAAAAATCAAAAAATTGAAAAAGAAATATCCAAAATTGAAAAATTGCAAATCGATAAATTGAAACATTGAATAATCAAAATTCAGACAATGAAATATCAAAAAAAAATATTTAAATGTAAAATGCGAATATTGAAAATCGAAAAACTGATTGAAAACTTGAAAAATCTAAAAACGAAAAACTGAAAATTCGAAAAATCGTAAAATCAAAAAATTGGTAAAACAAAAAATTGGGAAATCTAAAATTTAAAAATCGAGAACCTGAAAAATGGAAACTGAAAAATCTAAAAGGTGAGAAATCGAAAAACTAATTTTTTATTGTAAAATCCAAAAATGACAAACGAAAAAACTGAAATCGAATACTTGAAAAAATGAATACCCGTAAAATCCAAAAATTGACAAACAAAAAATTGAAGAAAACAAATCAAAAAACTAGAAAACTGAAAATCGACGACGAAAAACTGTAAAATCGAAAAATTGTAAGATCGAAAAACTGAAAGAACGAAAACTTGAAAATGTGAAAAATTAAAATATCTAGAAATGGAAAATTAAAATTGTAAGAACGAAAAACTAAAATATCGAAAAATTGAAACATCCAAAAATTGAAAACTAAAAAAATTGTAAAATCGAAAAATTAAAATATCTAAAATTAAAAAATCCGATAGTTGAGAAATTGAAAAATTACAAAATCCAAAAATTGAAGAATCGAAGAAATGTAAAATCGATAAGCTGAAAAATCAAAAATCCAAAAATTCAAAAATAAAAAATTCTAAAAAAATCGCAAATCGATAAATTGAAACATTGAATAATTAAAAAAATGTAAAATCGGAATATTAAAAATCGAGAAACTGAAGATAGAAAAGTTGAAAAATCTAAAAACGAAAAACTGTAAATTCGAAAAATTGTAAAATCAGAAAATGGTAAAAACAAAAATTGGAAAATCTAAAATTTAAAAATGGAGAACCTGAAAAATGAAAACGCTGATACATCTAAAGGTGAGAAATCGAAAAATATAATTTTAAATTTTAAAATCCAAAAATTGACAAACAAAAATTTTAAAATCGAAAAGTTGAAAAAATTAATGGCTGTAAAATCTAAAAATTGACAAAAAACTGAATAAAAGAAAAAATGGAAAATCAAAATCGATAAACTGAAAAATCGAAAAGTTGAAAAATCGAAAAATTGAAAACACGAAAAGTCAGAAAATCCAAAAATTAAAAATCGAAAAATGGAAAATTGAAAAATTTAAAAATCGAAGACGAAAAATTGTAAAATCGAAGAACTGTGGGAACGAAAAACTGAAGGTACGAAAAATTGAAAAGGCGAAAAATTAAAACATCTAAAAATGGGAAATATCTAAAATTGAAAAATCCGGCAGTTGAAAAATTGAAAAATTAGAAAACCTAAAAATTGAAAAACCGAAAAAATGTAAAATCCATGAACTGAAAAAATCAAAAATCGAGAAATTCAAAAATCAAAAAATCGAAAAAGAAATATCCAAAATTGAAAAATTGCAAATCGATATATTGAAACATTGAATAATCAAAATTCAAGACAATGAAATATCAAAAAAAAAAAAATTTTAATGTAAAATGCGAATATTAAAAATCGAGGAACTGATAGAAAACTTGAAAAATCTAAAAACGAAAAACTGAAAATTCGAAAAATTGTAAAATCGAAAAATTGTAAAATCAAAAAATTGGTAGAACAAAAAATTGGGAAATCTAAAATTTAAAAATGGAGAACCTGAAAAATGGAAACTGAAAAATCTAAAAGGTGAGAAATCGAAAAAAAAATTTAAATTGTAAAATCCAAAAATCACAAACGAAAAAACTGAAATCGAAAACTTAAAAAAATGAATAACCGTAAAATCCAAAAATTGACAAACAAAAAATTGAAAAAATAAATCAAAAAAATTATAAAACTCAAAATCGACGACGAAAAACTCTAAAATCGAAAAATTGTAAGATCGAAAAACTGAAAGAACGAAAAATTGAAAATGTGAAAAATCAAAATATCTAAAAATGGAAAATTAAAATTGTAAGAACGAAAAACTAAAATATCGAAAAATTGAAACATCCAAAAATTGAAAAATCAAAAAATTGTAAAATCGAAAAATTAAAATATCTAAAATTAAAAAATCCGATAGTTGAGAAATTGAAAAATTACAAAATCCAAAAATTGAAAAATCGAAGAAATGTAAAATCGATAAGCTGAAAAATCAAAAATCCAAAAATTCAAAAATAAAAAATTCGAAAAAAATGGCAAATCGAAAAATTGGAACATTGAATAATTAAAAATATGTAAAATTCGAATATTAGAAATGGAGAAACTGAAGATAGAAAAGTTGAAAAATCTAAAAACGAAAAACCGTATATTTGAAAAACTGTAAATTCCAAAAATTGAAAACAAAAAATGTTAAAAACATGAAAAGTTAGAAAATCCAAAAATTAAAAATTGAAAAATTAAAAACCGAAGACGAAAAATTGTAAAATCGAAAAACTGTGGAAACCAAACACTGAAAGAAC